TCAAAAAAGCAGTACCTCTAACCCTTTTCACTTTGAGTTCAACATTAGGAAAAGAAAAAAGGAGAAAAGAAATTCGCACTAAAGACAAAGGAAGTCAAACCCCGTATTTTCACACCCTATTCGAAAACTCAATGCGTTGATGGGTCATAGACAGGAGCGTGTGCATGTGTGTGTGTCTGTGTGCGTGTGTGTGTGTGTGTGTGTGTGTGTGTGTGGTGAATTTACATGTCTTTTGTACAATGGGACACTATCATTCATTAACCTTCATATTTTCTGCCACAAGCTGTCAAATTTAGCTTTACAAAGAATTTCGGTGACAGTTTATTTGAAAGCTGCCTAAATAGTGATGCATAAAATGTGCATTAGCATTGAATAACATATTTATAAAGCAATATGATGAAATATTTACAAACAGTTTATGTCATTGTTCACAAAATGGCATAAGGTTTTATGAAGTACACAACCTTGTATTGACATGAGGGCCTTAAACGGAAGTGATGGTCATTTGTTCCATTTATAACACTGTTATAAAGCTTTACTACTAAGAAATGGCACTTATAAGGCAGGGGCCTAGTTAAGAACACCACATATCAATGCCTCTAAGTGATCATTTTCATTATATTTTCTCATATTTAACTTGAATGCACAAGTTTTTCAACTACAGTACAAAAGTTACTTGCTTTTAAATGTAATCAAGAGTAAAAGTACTTTAAGTTATTATAGACATTGTTTTACTTTTTCAGGCCTATCTCACTGCAGAGATGAAAAACAGAGTCTCATTAGTAATCTGCTGCACATAAATTGTACTTTTGTACTTTAACCCAAGTAGAACCATCTAACTGGACTTTATAAGTGCTATTACTTGGTAATAATGCGTCATTACAGTGTTATAAACAGTGCAAATGTGTATCACTTTAGTTAAGGCCCTTATATCAACACAATGTGTTTTACTTCATGTAACTGCTCAAATCATATTGCGATTACTGGCATAAGCTGTTTATAAACATTCAAGTGTTGCTGTATAAATATGTTATTCACTGCTTATGCATGTGTTATGAAGTCGCCGTGTGGGTAGCCTTCAAATAAAGTGTTACTGACTCAAACTTGCACATACAAGCGCGGCATACAAATTACACCCACACAGGGAACATAAATAATGTAGTGAGGATTTGAGCTCTGAGTCATTTTCGTGTCGTCCCCACAGTGTTTCAGAGCAGACCTGTTTTATAGGCAAAATCAGTACATTTATCTTTGTAAAGATATATTTCCTGTACTGTAAACTGACTGCTGTTATCCTAACCATTATATGACTTTACATCTAAACTGACCTCTACATATATTCTTTTATACCTGCACCAACAGTGTCCATTTGAGAACCTCCATCCACCTGGAAGGTGCCTTCACATCTATTATGATAAATAATAAAATCATATCTTTCCTTACTGACGACACCTTTAATGAAATAAACTCAGGTCAGGTGGCAGCAAAAAACACATTTATGTCAACATTTCTGAGCGTAATCTTCCAAGCAAAACCACACGCTAAAGCCAAAGGAACTTAAATTGTTAAAACTATTATTATTTTGTGACTGAGATGGTCGTAATAACAATAACAGCAAAAATAAAAAAGCAAAGATATTGTGTGTTGGAGCACAGTCCATTGTAAGGCATCAATTATACATCATTGTTTTACTTAGTTCCACAATTCGTCATTGTCATATCAAAACCTCTTTTATCCCATTTTTTTATTTTCTTTTTACAACATTTGAAAATCTCAGCTGCTCTTCACATTGTGTAAACATTTCATGGTGAATGGACCAATAATAATGGTCCATAATTACTTTAAAATCTCATTACTTTAGCTGACAGTACTGTGCAAAATTCAGAGACACTCCAGACATTTCATTCTTCAGGTGATATTTCTGAAGAGATAACATATTAGATGTGAATGAGTTTGGGGTAATTTGGATCATGAGAAGAAGCAAATGCAATCAAATGTGGAAAACTATCCCTGCAGATTTCTAGAACTGAACACAAGACTTACAAAAAGAATGTAATAAAGCTGTAATAAAGGCATAGAGTGGACATACAATATATATATATATATATATATATATATATATATATATATATATATATATATATTTTGCTGCTGTTGGAATGAAACCTTGTATCTCCAAAACATTACAGGACCAGAAAACACATTCTTAGCTTTTAATAGAAATTAATGGATACATTATTTTTTTCAAGTAATTCTTGACGATTTCTGTTCATGTCCGTTCATCATGACATTTTGACATATCATAATACTGACCTTTTAAAATTTTGTCAAAAAATGAAAAATGGATAAAAATGGAGATACAAGATTTTGACCCGACAGCAACAATATCGCTGCAGTTGGAACAAAACCTCATACCTCCATTTTATCATTGTTTTCAGTTTTTGATATAATTTGAAAATGCCTGTTGCTCTTTACGTTGTGTGTAAATTTCATGATGAATGGAGCAAAAGAAATGGAACAAAAATGACTCGACATAAATTCTGGTTCCACTGACTTACATTAAAAGTAAAGCATGTTTTTTCCTTCTCCTGTAAAGTTACCATTTTGGAGATACAAGGTTCTGTTCCGAAAGCAGCGATATACAGGCCTCTGTGTCATTTTCTATTAAACATATGTTAAACATATGAAGGGTTTGATTCCAAAATGCTGTATATGCATTTGTAACAAAGAGTAGCAGGTGTATAATTGAAAACAGTTTTATTTCTCTAATAAACACTTAAACATGTTCAAGAAATGTTTGCAAGTTAATTCTAGGTCGTTTGTTCTCCAGAGTTGGAGAATAAGGACTCTTATTTGAGAAGGCCTCCTAGGAGCCTCCGCAGGAAGTAGGTGTGGAGATGAGCTAGGATGAGCGTGGCTGTGGCCAACAACAGCTGGAAATAAAGCACTACGCAGTGCCTCTTCTGCAGTATCTCTTCTTTTAATAGCGGTGAATGCTATATAGCATTTATATTTATTGTGTAAAGTGTGTAAAGCCCACTCCCAACAACATGTCATGGAAAAAAAGGAAAATGATTAAAATTGGTCTGTAATGCATTTTAGAATGAAACGTTTCATATATCTTCTGCATTTTTCCCTGAAAAATGAGTGTTAGTTACATAATGAAGGGTGGTCTCTGTCTTTTGCACAGCACTGTACATTAAAATCCTGTTAACTATACGTTAAAAATTTGGAGATGCGAGGTTGTGTTACAACAATGAAGAATTTAGGCTGAATTATACTTCTGCATCAGCGATTCTGCATAGGCATCTGCCAACACACTTGCATGTCATGTGAAGGTGGGCACTGGGGGGCAGTGTCCAAACCAGTAGAGGAAACAAAGGGCAAGATCTTACGTTATGTCACGTCACTGCTTCCATTATAGTTTGAAATGTTTACGACTTCGCACAACTGAACTGCTCTATTTCGGTAGTAACAGTAGTTCCAAGCCGAGTGCTGTTTGGGTCTCATTCCGCCCCCAACACTATTGGCTAGCCAATCAGCTTGCTTGATGCACAGCTACGTAGATTGTCACAACACGTAGGAATGCCTTCTCTGCATCATGATGCAGATTCGTATATGTTCACATGCTCTTTACAGAAGTATACACCAGCCTTTACGTGGATAGCGAGTTGCTTGCATTGCAGTAAGTGTGTTTTGCATAAGTAGATGATACTGTGTATGACGCCTACGACCGTAACCATAGTTACTATAGGTACATCTACGGTTCGATTTTCACGTGTCTTGCTCCAGTTAAAAGTTTGTTGACCTGATTGGACCTTTTTCTGATTTGCACTTTCCCTCCAAATCCAAGCTGACCGCCAAAGTATCCTCACAGGGATTGGGAATTGTTGTTGAAAAGATTTTTGAAAAATCAACAAAAAATTGCATGAATGAACGCCGTTTCAGCAACGACCAAAGCAAAAAATAGCAACGTCTTATGCATATTTTTTCTGTTTTTTTTTTTCTTTCTTGGCTATTTTTTTCCCACTCGCTAAGATACATTGCTCTTGTTAAGTGCCCCCGACAAAAATAGTGCAGTAAGAAATAACTATGATCATACACGTTTCACGAGAACTCACGGGACGAGAGGAAGAAACACAAATGCTGTTAAGAAAAAAGAAAACGTTAAATATATACGATTGAAAAAGGATTTTTTTTTTTTACAAAAAGTGGTGGAGCGTACATCCTGCTTTAAAAAAAAAACAGTTCAACCTGGCACGTCCAGACTTTTTTTTTTTCTTTTTTTCCTTTTGATTTTTACAAAAGTGTATCTCCGTTTGACCGTTCACTCTTTTTACAATATCTAAAAGGTATTAAGACATCAAATGTGTTTACATAGATATTTGAGACTATTATTCAGGCCTAAATTCACCAAATAAATCCCAAAAAAACATACCTTTTATAAATACATACAAAAAGAAAAAAGAAAAAAAAAATTACAAGAAGAAGTTCGACGAGAAATCTGGTACCTAAATGTGATTAAAATTGCAAGAAAGCATTCCTGGTTTAACTCTACCAAATCCACACACCTGCGACTCTACTGTGCCTACGGTAAACAGTACAAAAAAAGCTGATTGACACCCTAAATGACGTCGATCCCTTAAAAATCCTCGCATTCGGCCTGGCTGGGTTCTTTTTCTCTCGTGGACGGTTTTGTAATTGTGCATTTTCTTCTGGTTAGTAACTCGCTTGGAATGACACAAATTATATTGCGGTACAATTAGGTAAAAAAAAGGAAAGAAACACGTAAACATTACATTTCATTATATAATGTAATGACATTAAAAGGAATAACATTAGAGCCCCCCCCCCATTCGCACAAGTCCCCTTTATCTGCTTGGCTTGCTCCGTCATTAAAGACGTCCCAGGGTCGGAAATAAGAAGGAACTGAACCAGAAAAGGGGAGAAAGGAGCCCATCCATAGACACCCCCATGCAAACGGAGCTCCGAAGCCAAGCAGTGGGCTGCAGCTGGAAGCCCCTGTACATTTCCAAACCTCTATTTTGGAGTTCATGCTGGGAAAATCTCGCCTAGCTTCCGTCCACCTCCGCGCCGTCCTTCTCGAGAGTTCCGAAAGATGAAATCAACATAAATATAAAATCTAAGCGTGGGACGAAACTTTTTTGTCTTCTTTTTTCATTTTTTATTCACTTTGTCCAGGTTATCCAGATGCTCTTCTAGAGAAGCTTCTCCACAGGATGTTAATGAAGATGACGATGATGATGATATTTGCAAAGTGACTGTCAGGTGGATTCCAGGAGCCGGTGAGTTTGTTTTGGGCTTAGGGAATCTCTGGGACAACGAGCTCCTCCTGCCACTTCACATAGGTGGGACGATGAGGCCGGCCATGGCTGTAAAGGAGAGAAATAAATAATTATAGAGCAACAACAGCGCAACCACAGTAACCAACACAAATAACTCCAAATGAGTTACATAGGATGCAGGTTTAATTTACACATTTACTTGATATGCAGATTTAATTATATTCTATGATTTTTATTTTTCATTCATTTTAAATTGTAATAGCATTGCTGATTAAAATCTTACATATTCTTTTTTCTTCTACTCTTTGTAGTTGGGCTGTTATATCATTTAGACCATAAAATGTTTTCTTTACAATATTTTGCAAAAACCTGTGCTCTACTGTGTAGAGCAAATTATTATTATTATTATTATTATTATTATTATTATTATTATTATTATTATTATTATAGTCAGGTTTATGTCATTTTTTTTAAGCATACACAACACCTTGGTAAGAAAAACAATAACATAATAAATAATTAAATGCTATCTTTTGCACTCTTTGTAATTGTGCTGTTATTTCATTTAGACCACAATATTTTATTGCTTATTCTATACATATATTTAATTAATTAATTTTTCAAGAAATAAATAAATAAAATTGTGCTTGTCAGTGGGTCAGTGGACCAAGACAGTAAAAATAATTTTATTTTTATTTAATTTTAACTATAATAACTATCTAACTAACTAGCTAACCAAATAAATAAATCAGTTTGTTTTATGAGTTTTTCATTGTTTTTATTCATGCTATTATTCATCATTTTTAGGCTTATTTTGAACCTTGATTAAAAAAGTCAAAACATCCCAACAAATGTTCTTTTTCTACTGTCTCAGTTCACTGACAAAGGCAGTTGCAATCATTAGCAGTGAAACAGCTCCCCAATGGAGCTGATGAGGAGTAAAGGAGCTGAACAGGCCTGCAGACACTTTCAGTTCAAAACAATACAGCACTAGTCTGGCAATCGCCAGAGAACACGACTCTATCAATCAGTAAAGAAAACAAGCCGGAGCTGAATATTTTACTATATCAGAGTCCGAGTCCGAGAATTAGTCTCCAAGGTCACATGATTGATGTGGAACAATTCAAATTCATGCTTTTTTTTCGGGAGTCTTCTGGTGGACAGTTGGAAATGCCTGACCATGTGTATAATTTGGAAACCTGTAATTTGTGCATTAACAGGCTTTTAGAGGTTGTGGTACAACTTTTGATCATTAGAAAAATAAAAAGAAGACCAGCTCAGAGTTTTTACCGTCGTCAATCCCTGGCAAAGGGGAAAAATAAACAATCAAACCTCATAGTTATGGATCAACTTTGACCTTGAACATTCCTGTGCAGTGTCGCTTAGTTTTGTTGGACTGTTTCATGTGATATTTTCAGACCTAACGTCTCAGAGCATCTTTTTTTCCGATTGGCTGAGAAGCAGGAGAGGGGCGGGGTGCTCACCCTGTAGGCTGCTCCCATTGGTGCTGGTGCAGGTGGGGGGCGGGGAGGTCTGTGGCCGGACCACGGGGGCGAAGGCGCTCTTCTGTTTGACTGCGGAGATCATATGAAGAGGAGAGAATGAGGAAGAGCCAGCTGAGAGAGGGACAGAGGGAATGATAGACGAAAAACAGACGGGACGGGAGGGGGGGTAGGTGAAGCTCCTGGAGGGGGCTGGTGGGGGGTGACGGTGGCACACACATGCACACACTCACACACACACACATACATGCGCGCATACACTCAGGCAAGTGAGCGAGGTGATCGTGAGGGCAGCCATGCTGGTTGTTAGGGCTCAGATGGAGGCCAGAGGGATTATGGGTAGGAGAAAGTAGAATGGGGATGCGAGAGTATGCTACCTGAATGGCAAAGTTGATCCATAACTTAGACCCTTCAAAGAGGGGCCAACACAGCAAAACCAGGAATGCAATGCTAGATTCAGCACTCATGTTTTCTTACCATTGTGCTAAGTACTCTTAAAAACAAAGGTTCTTAAATGGTTCTTGGCTTGGAGTTCCAGTTTAATGATGTTCAATTGGTTTACAACCTATACATTATGTGAAGATTTCCAAAAATGGTTGTCTAAAGCAGGAGAATCCTGGAGAATCAGTGTCCAGCACACTGTGGTGATTTCCTTGCTCAAACACAGCTGTTAATTGCCAGCTTTGGTAGGTGTTTTCTGACTGGGGTAATTACCAAACTATGCTGGACACCAGGCCTCCAGGGCCAGAGTTGAATGCCCCCTGGTCTAAAGAACCATCTATTGAAAGTAGCAGTGGAAAAAGTGCAGATAAACTGGACTGGTCAACATCTTACTCAGTTGAAAGTGGAAGTATGGAGATAAAAATGTTTTTATTTGGTGTATAGTGACCTATGGGTGCTTTGAGTCCTCGCACAAAGACAAATTGACATAGTTATGGGTAATGATATGAATTTCGTTGGATAAATATATAAGAAAAAAAGAAATCTCCTGTTCTTTGAAGGTGTGAATACAAAAAAAAGTATATTTTTTCTCTTTGAAGTGTAAAAAGTATTACAAATTACAAATCCTTAAAAATGGTAATGTGGTAAAAATACTCAAGTATTCTCCACCCCTGACTGAAAGGTTCTTCAGAGAACCACAAGATCTTCTAAGGAATCACTCCAAGAACCCTTTTAGACACCTTTATTTTCAACACTGCCTGTCAAAGGTTTGGGGACACCAAGCTAATTTAGATAAGCGTGTTTTATTTGGCAGTTCGCAACACTATAAATGGAAAGATGTTTAGATCTTGCAAAAGGACCAAATGAGAAAAGCTCTACCATCAGACCAATTCCAGTCCAGCTTGTGCACTCATTAGCACTCAAGACTTTCAGGTGTTTAAACCATTAAAATAGCAGGCCATCCTGAAGCTTATTACTATGTAATTACATCGACAAAAATGCAAACAAGCCAAATTATTCTTAAGCTATTGCTCTTCATACTAAGAAAGACACTTAGATGAACATGAAGCTGAGTGTCAATGCTAAACATGCCCAAAAGATTAGCGCAGAGATGTGAATCTTTGCAGGGAACTTTCAGAAAACTGAATGTTCAAGGCAAGGTGTCCCCAAACTTTGGATGGACAGCATATTTCACCGTAAGGAAACAGCCTCACACATTCAGCAGAGAAGAAGGAGAAGAAATGGTGCTAAAAACCATCCGCAGGATCGTGTACACTTTGGCACCCGCATAGAGGAAGGGATTTTTTTCAGAGAAAGAAAAACTACCTTGACTTGGCTTAAGCCAGCGCTCTCGGCAAAGGAATTCAAATGCGCCGCTTCACACCAAAACACACAAAAAAAGGAAAAACGCCCAGCACTCCTCAATGAAAATTCCACCTTGAAATGCTAAATCCGTTTCCCCGGCCCGAGCTGAGCGCTTTCCCATTCGTTAAAGTGAATGAAATGAAAACCTGTCACAGAATGGCTTCGCTCAGTGTCCGGCCTGCCAAACATGTGCCAATCAAATGAAACACGAATACTGAATATATGGACCGAGTTATAACAAACCAAGTGCTGATACTCACAGTCGAAATACCCAAGAGCGCACATAAGACCAGTTCTCAGCCCACTGTGACTTCAAACGTTATTATTCTGCCATTTTGTTATTTTAATGGCACGGATGAAACCTACTCCTAAACTATAAGGAGCTGTGAAAGTATAATCCACACTGGCAGCTGCAGTTCAATCAAGAGTTTAAGCTGCATCTACAGAACTGGCTGGTCAGAGTGCAGTGAGACAGCATGATAAGGATGTTAATGTGTTAGTGAGGATGAAGATGATTCAGAAAGATGAGTGTGAGTGTTAGAAATCACAGCTGGCAAGACGTTTCGAATCAACAGACAAACAGAGCCAAAAGCGCCTCATGAAAGCCTGTGCTGATACAACTAATAAACAAGTTTAGATTTTGTTCTAGATGCTGATTTATCTGCACTGTGCTTGGCAAAGAACACCTACAAAAACAGCCAGGAATCCAATTCATTCGAATCTTTCAGTTTTCAGATACAGCCACACCTGTACAGGTAGATTAGAGTCACACTTGAACATGTACACCACAGGCACACCTGTACAGGTAGACTAGAGCCACGCCTATACCTGTAGACCTTTACACTCTGTCTACAAATTCATCTGCATAGGAATACTATGGCCACACCTGTACAGGTAGACTACAGTCACACCTGAACATGTAGACTACAGCCAGACCTTTACATTTCATCTACAAATTCTCCTGCATAGATATACTAAGTCCACATCTGTACAGGTAGACAACAGGGGCACCTGTATGGGTAGATTAAAGTCACACCTATACATGTACACTACAGGCACACCTGTACAAGTAGATTAGAACCACACTGGTACTAAGAGACTACAGCCATGAATATATATTTAGTCTACAGATTACCTGCATAGGTATACTAGGGCCACACCTGTACAGGTAGACTACAGGGGCACCTGTACAGGTAAACTAGAGTCACACCTATACATATAGACTACAGGCACACCTGTACAGGTAGATTAGAGCCACACCTGTACTAATAGACTACAGCCATAAATATACATTTAGTCTACAGATTTACCTGCATAGGTATTCTAGGGCCACGCCTGTACAGGTAGACTACAGGTAGACTCTACCCATATGATATACACTCAAAGCCACACTTATATTAAGTAGACTAGAGCCATGCTTGTATGAGAATACTACAGTCATGCTTGTAGGGTAGACTAAAGCTATGCCTGTACACATAGGCTACACCCACACTTGTACAGGGAGATTATAGTCACATCTGTACAGGTAGAAGGTAAACCACAGCTGCACCTTTATATTTGCACTTGTACAGGTAGACTATAGCCACATGTGTACAGGTAGACTACAGCCAAACCTGTACATTTAATCTATAGGCAGTCTACGGCCACACCTGCACAGGAAGACTGGAGCCACACTGATAGAAGTAGACAAGAGTGCAGGTAGACTACAGCTGCACCTGTACAGGTAGACTACAGCCAAACCTGTTCATTTAGCCTACAGATGTACCTGCGTAAGTACATTATGTACAAGTGTACTACAGCCATTTGTACAAGTACATTACAGCCATATGCACCTCCCAGGTAGACTTCAAAGACCACAGCCAGACCTGTACATTTTGTCTACAGGTGCACTTGCATATCTAGTCTATGGCCACACCTGCACAGGAAGACTGCAGCCACACTTGTAGAAGTAGAAAAGAGTCGCACCTGTGCAGGCAGGCTACGGTCCCACTTGTTCAGGTGGACGACAGCCAAACCTGTACATTTGGTCTACAGATGTACCTGCTTAAGTATATTATGTATAAGTATGCTACAGCCACTTGTACAAGTAAACTTCAGCCATATGCACCTCCCAGGTAAACTATAGTCGCATCTCCAGAGGTAGACTACACCCACACTTTGTACAGGTTGACCACAGGCACACTTGTACAGGTAGATCACTTGTACATGTAGGCACACCAGTAAGGGAGCACTAGCATGTTGTACTGCTATATATATAAGTAAATTTACCGCTACTCACTTGCGTAGGGGGAGTTGGCAGTGGATCCGTTGAGGAAGCTGGGGGAGCCAGGTACTCCCAGGTTGGTCATGCCTGCAGCACCGTATCCGTTCATGGTGGAGGTGATGGTGTTGTAGTTGGACTGCTGAGGCGTGGAGCTCGGCACATAGCCACGAGGAGACACGCTGTTGGAGTTACGGGAGTAACCTACAGTACAGAGACAGAAGGAGAACAACAGGTTTAGTCTACACTGTGCAGGCATATGGTAGTACAGTGAGGCCTACGTCCCTTAAAAATCCAGAACAATCAAAAATGCTTTTCTGGTAAGAGAAAAATTTGTCACTGTATTTCCATTCTCTGATTGCTCTGGACTTTCAATATGTTTCAGTATGTAAAATATCAGGTTTTCAGTCTGCAACAACCCTACATCTCAACAAATTAGATCTTGGCGAGTTCAATAATCTTAAATCTAGTCATGTTGTCTACATTTTGAGATTGTTCTAAAAATATTATTATGATTAACTTATCTACAGACTTTTTTTTGTTTTACATTTTTTCTGAAACTGAAAGTAAAATTATCTGCATTGTAAATTACTGTCAGGGTTTTTCAATATTTAACAATTCAATATTTAATGAAATTGTATTGATATCATTTGAGATATCCTGTGCATATACAATGATAAACATGGTTAAAGAATACGTTGATTGATATTGTTTCTTAATTTATTTTATATTTTACTTTATTTTAATAAAAAAAAGACATTTATAGATTATAGTTGTGTAAAAATTCAGGAGAATGCAGCTACATCACAGTAGTCTTGTGGTACAAGTGACTGTGATGTCACATTTGCTATTTTACTGTTACTTACTGTTAATATGGCATGGTAAATTACTGTAAAATATTGCATAACAGCCAGTAATTTACTGTACATTTACAGTGAAATTTTTACAGTGTATTTCTTGAAATAAGCAAATTACCTGCTAATTGAATAAGACCATTTCTTTGGATAAAATGACTTAAAACAAGCAAAAAAACAAAGAAATTAATCTTATAAAAATATATATAAGAAAAATCTTATAAAATCTTATAAACACAAAGTGAAAGTTTTAGAAATTTCAACAAATTTGATATTTTCACTTGCTAAGGTGTAGCATTCTGCCGTGTACTTTCTAAATGTCATTTGAAAATGCTAGTCTGTGGGAATTTATTCACTTATGGTTCAAATTATTTGCTACAATAGCAACAATATATGATTTGAGTTATGTCCAGAGATTAAGGAAAGGACAGTGAGACAGTGAGACTGTTAGGCTCACATGTGTTTCCCATTGTTTCTCTCTCTCTCTCTCTCTCTCTCTCTCTCTCTCTTTGTCTCTCGCCCCCATGTCCTGTCAAATTTCTCCGCAGGAAGGCCATTGATGGAGTGCTTGCCTACTGGACTTGTATCAGGGAGACGAGTGGGAGTAAGAGAGCACCAAAAAGACCCAATCCTCAAACCCTGTACCCCAATCCCAGACCTGTACCCCAGCACTAGTTTCAGCTTAAAACAATGTTTCAGTGAAAAATCAAATTTACAGTTTTCTCCTTTGTTGAAATGTCATCACGCCACCAAGTTCGGTGTCTGAAGTTTGCTTCTTTCATTTTGCATTAGAGCTACATGGCTAAGCTCACCAGTAATTGAAACTTATAGCCCGACAGTTAGCAACATGCAAACTGCATGTGTCAGTCATCCTGTTGAATTGTTAAGTAATCTCAACTAGACTTGCTTATGTGGTTTCTTACACTGTAGCCTATTATATGTCGTACTGTTGTCCAAAGAAATACACAAAAACATGTTAGCATAGCTAAAAACAGTAGTAACAGCCTTATTGAAGCTTGCATTTTCATCTATACTGTGTTACAAACCATAGCAAGTTTTAAAAATTACTTAACAACTTAACACAGTTTGAGGCAAGTGATGGTGCAGTTTTCCAGATGTCCAGAGTATAACTGTCCAGAGTATAACCTTCCATTACTTATTAGCTACATTAGCCTTATAGCTCCTGTTCAAGGCTAAAGAAGCAAACTCCAGATGCCACACATGTCTTAGCTGACTGACTACATTCGAGCTAAAGGAGAAACACTGCGTAAATTAGATTTTCTGCTGAAATATTCCTTTAGGCTGAGCTTGGGGAGCGTTCAAATTGTCCAAAGCCTGAATGTTGACAGGGCGAGTGGGACTAAGCTCATGGGTGTGTGCGGCAATTCGATCTGCTCCATTCTTCTAGAGTGACAGCATGAGAGGACACGGCATGTCCACGTGCACGCTCACCACGCCAGCCGTCATCACAGCATGAGTGTGCACGGATAGCGGCCGTAATGTATGACATTTATTAAACATTAGTTTGAGGAAAATACTATATTTTGATATAGTATTTTATATGGTGAAGTTTATGTGAGACCTGCAATGTTTTCTAAGATGGTTTGAATGTACCAATCAATCTGTACCCTTTTATGGCCTAATTAAGTCAATTAAATTAAGCAGATAATTAATTGCATACCAAGCAAGGTGTTGATTTGAGACATGGATGTTTTGTTTGCATCTTTGATCTTACAATATACAAATCAATAATCAATGTAGCCATCATTAAATAACAACATCTCGGTCTGGCTATACATGGTGAAACTTTCACATAACTTTAGTTGCATGAAATTCACATGAAACTAAATTTCACCTGCGTTGCATGATGTAAAGTCTCCTGCAACTAAATTGCAAGCATCTCTACTTTGAGAAACAGGTTTAAGAAAACCAGTCATATTGTTGATAATGTACTTTGTGTAATTGTCAAGTTGCACAGAAATTATGTTTCATGCAACTAGTTGCAGGTTGCAAGTTGCATGAAACACAATTTCTGTGCAACTTCACAACTGTTTTACCATGTAAAGCAAGGTTTACAGAATTCCA